TACACACATATGAGAAAAACTTATAATATAGAAATCGTTGATGACGAATATTTAAAATATAAAATAAAATTTGGATAAGCTTGTTTGATTTTATATTGAAAAGACAGTATAATGCATAAAAATCTGAACTTTATTTTATCGCGCAAAATTACCAAAATATAACTCATAAAATATTAACTACATGTACGCAACACCTCATCAACTTAAACAACCCCTTATATCGATCCAAAGTCCCATAAACCGTCACTCCTATCTTCCTCACCGATCTCAATCTCAGTTCGTAACCCCAAATCGACCTGTCGTTTGCCTTCGAGAACCACCCTCGACGCACTAATGTTCGCATGACGCGAAAGGGTTGCCTCTGACTTGGCCCATTACTTTCGACCCACACCTCTTTACCCTTTGCTCCTTATTATTGATTAACATGTGTCATCGTCACGATCAGCAGGACACATAGCAACACGCGGTGCTGTTCTAAAGTTGGAACTAGTGATGGGATCGAGTGCGATATGAAATTGGAATACTCTGAGTTTAAGTTTTACAATTTTTCTCGATATGTTGTATAAATTTAAGTAAGGAAATAATGTAAATAACGAAAATATTTGTTAAAGTTCAAATTAGTTTGAATAATCTGTATTTGAATCGATACTCGAATCTATTCGGAATACGTTTCGTGTTCATTTTTTAAAATTAAAAATTTTTTTCTATGAACAATAATTATGCGAATTTGTTGCATCATTGCTATTCGCATTATTTTTTGAAGCCGATATGACAATTATAATTATTCACACTGTTCGATTTTCCAAATCCTAGTTCCAATTATTTTGAATAATTGATATTCTAGTATATCTGAATCAATTTCATCAGTATTTAATCTCATCCCTAGTTTCGATAGTCGACCTTCTATTGAATTCATCGATATTCTAGTTTCAATATACTTGATTCTATCGTTAATTTGTATAAGTGATGCTCTGTATTTTAATTCTATTAAATCTCGATCCCATCACTAACAATCATATTGCTTTATATCGATGAAAGATATTACATATTCAAAATCCTATCTCCATAATTTTCCTTTTCTCCATAATTTTCTCTTTAAGATTATCTGAATCAAGTCGATTTATATCTATCCGTAATACTTAATACCATCGCTATTTTTATTGTATTTGAGTCAATTCCATCAATATATAGATTATTATCGATTCCATACTCTCAACATATTTAATCCCATCGCTGGTTTCAATAATCGCTGTATCGTATTCGAATCCACTCGCAACACACTTAATCCCATCTAATAATCAATACTCTACTATATTAAAATCAGTTTGATCGACATTCGAATCCACTCTTGACACGCTTAATCGCTACTTTACATAATCGATACTCTATAGTATTCGAATCAAACGTATCAATATTCGAATCTACTCGCAACACGCTTAATCCCATCGCTAATTTCGATAATCGACGCTTTAATATATTCGAATCACTTTCAACACGATTAATCCTATAATTGACACTTTGTTCCAATTTACTCACACTTAATCTCATCGCCATTCAATCCACTTTCAATGCGCTTGAACCTATCGCTATTCTAGATAATTGACAGTCTATTCGAATCTATTCGCAACACATTTAATCCCATCACTAATTTCGAATCACTTTCATCAATATTCGAATCCACTTTCAACACTTATATAATTGACGCTCTATTTGAATTTACTCGCAACACACTTAAGCCCATCGCTAATTTCGATAATCGAATCCACTTTCATTGATCCACTTTCAACACAATTAATTCTATAATTGACGCTCTATTCGAATTTACTTATTCACACTTAATTCCATCGCTAGTTTCGGTAATCGACGCTCTAATATATTCGAATCAGTTCCAATGACATTTGAACACCACTCTCGACACGATTAATCCTATAATTGACGCTTTGTTTCAATTTACTCACACTTAATCCCATCACTAATTTCGGTAATCGACGCTCTAATATATTCGAATCCACTTTCAATACGATTAATCCTATAATTGGCGCTCTATTCGAATTTACTCACACTTAATTCCATCACTAATTTCGGTAATCGACGCTCTAATATATTCGAATCCACTTTCAACACAATTAATTCCATAATTAACGCTTTGTTCCAATTTACTCACACTTAATCCCATCACTAATTTCAGTAATCGACGCTCTAATATATTCGAATCACTTTCAACACGATTAGTCCTGGAATTGATGCTCTATTCGAATTAACTCGCAGCACACTTAATCCCATCGCTAGTTTCGGTAATCGACGCTCTAATATATTCGAATCACTTTCAACACGATTAATCCTGGAATTGACGCTTTATTCGAATTAACTCGCAGCACACTTAATCCCATCGGTAGTTTCGGTAATCGACGCTCTAATATATTCGAATCACTTTCAACACGATTAATCCTATAATTGGCGCTCTATTCGAATTTACTCACACTTAATTCCATCACTAATTTCGGTAATCGACGCTCTAATATATTCGAATCACTTTCAACACGATTAATCCTGGAATTGACGCTCTATTCGAATTAACTCGCAGCACACTTAATCCCATCGCTAGTTTCGGTAATCGACGCCTTAATATATTCGAATCACTTTCATCGACATTCGAAAAGCCACTCTCGACACACTTGATCCCATCACTAGTCCTACGTCGGCGATCACTTATATCGGGATAGAGTGCCCAGGGGATGTTATACGTCGTGTTATCGACGTACAAAGCGGGCTCGAGCTGGCGGCAATCGGACTAACAGCGCGGGTCAGAGTTCGGGTGCCGGGGGGCGCGAGACGATAATAGGAAAACAGTAAATCGGGAAATTACGCTCGTCCTCTAACGTCTGCTACACCTGGTTGATCGATCCTGGAACGCAATTATAGCGAACGGGACACGAGCCGGACTCACGCCCCGAAATCGCCACCGAAACGCTTGTGGACTTCCTGGATGGGGAGCCCCCTTTCAGGTGTTTCGGTTATTCGCCGCCAGGGGGTTTGGTGTTTGTTGTCTGCGAGATGGTAATTGTTTGCCAGGATGGACGGTGAATTGTGAAGGAATTGGCGTTACGTTATTCGCGGCAAGGTGGGGATTTATGGCATGGCACTTTGATTGTGAAGCGTGAAATTGTGTTGGAGGAACGTGTCGATGGAATTTTCACTTTCATTCTTCGGTTATTGTAATTTTGATTTGTAACACAGAATTTGTATTTACAAAAGTTTGTAGAGCGTATATGCGATACGTAAAAAGTATCTAAAGAATATTATGATTCGATTGATAATGAATTGTGAAATTATAAAGGTATAATTACGTTGTGAAATTGAAAAATGTTTATTAAATGCAATTATATTGGCTGCTACTATTGAGTTATTACAATTTTTGTAATTAGACTATGAAGAATTTGTATGTGCAAAAATCTAGAGTGTTAAAAGTATTTAAAGAGTAGTACATTGATGATGAGTTGTCAAGGATGTAATTTGTAATAAAAGGGAAAGAATTTAAATGAAATATTTCGGAAGTGCAATTATATTATAACTATTGGAGATATATTTATTGGAAAGATGACATTACATACAATATTATGAGATAATTTTTGCTAAACTGGATATTTATGGAATTTGAATATACATAAATGTACATTCAACGTATAAATGTTATTACAAATTAATTTTTATTGCGCCATTATTAGACGGATTATGGGACAATTTTGACTGTGAATAAAGTTGTAATTAAATCGTGAATATTTATGATTTTATGCCACGTTTTACAAACATCTATTTGTTAGAACAAATTTCTCGTGATTTGTTCTTAATTATTTTATTTTAATATGTATTCTGCATCTGGTAATACTTTTCTCTCTTCTATGATCAAATCAAATTGAGTTGCTTGAATGATCTAACTATGAAATATAATTTTAGACATCCAACTAAGAAATTTACAATTATCATTCTTACAAGAATACCAACAAAGTTAGATTTTTTTCTTGAATTCCAATAATTGGCATGATCAAATAATCTCTGCCTCAAATCAATCATCATAAATGAGGAAAGAAGAAAAGGAAATAATAGTTAGAGGATTTGACAATAGCATTAAAAATATCTTACCACTGAATTCTATCAAAATTAATCAACGTAATGCAATGATACGAACGAATCATGAACAACGTTATCTAGCATAATCGATAAGGATGTATCTTGTGACGAGACATATGATATTTTATTTATAATTCGAGATACGATCCCACGATACCAGTACGATGTCATTTATATATTACCTACCATCAGATAAATCTCTATCTCTTCCTATCTCTCTTCCTTCTTCTCTGTCTCGTGGTAACGCCTTGCATCTAACAGGCGCATGTAAAATTGATTTATAGCTTTATATTTGAGCGAAAATTCGAAGACGTTCCCCGGCAACCTTGATACAAGTATATTCAAATTTCAGGATCTTTCAACCTCTGATAATACCAATTAATTTCTAATTATTTCAATATGCAATTATATGCAATATACATGAATTTCTGAACTTTTTATTCATCATTGTTATTATATTATATTTATATTCCGTGTATTTCGTTATTATTTTTAAAAAGATAGTAAAAATTTTACAAAAGATTTTGGATTATAAATTTATTTATTATAATATAGTTAAACAATATGGAAGAAAGTGAAACAATTCAATTTCGAAAATATCTAGGTGAATAAGATTTTCTATGAAGTGCCAAAGTTGAGGAAAAATATTATTGAAATGCAAATATAGGGTGTTTAATAAATCATCATTTCTTGATTAATATAACTTCATATAACAAATTCATATTGAAATAATTTAATATATACGTATGTACTATTAAAAAGAATTTCACAAAAAAAAAATAAAATAAAATTAAGATAATAAAAATAATAAAATATTTATCACATTAAATTATGCATTTATGATTTATAGCATTGCAGAAGAATAGTAAAATTAAAATAATAAATTCTGTATATTTTATATTAGTCAATCATGCACATTGACCGTGTGATTTATCGTACACCGTGTATATGCTATCCAAGGGACATCTTGCGAGGATCTTCGTTGAAAAATATGTCTCGAATTTCCAACGTTGGAGGTGTAACGGCTACAAAATGAAGAAAAGGGACGACAAATGAAATTGGACAGAAAGATGAATTTTCGTAAACAAAATAAATAGGTATTTTCTTATTTAGTTACACGCGAAAATAAATAAATTACTGTAATAAAATTTACATTCACTAATAAATATTTGTTATTTGATTTCATTAAAGGAAAATTTTTATTTTATTTTTATATTAATAAATACTTTATTTTAAATAATTATTTTAATATTGTTTGAATAATAATGTATTTATAAAATATATTTCTTCATAACATTTGTTACTTTATTTGACACGTATTCGATTAATATTTGTTATTTGATTTCACTGCATATGCTATCCAAGAAATTGAAGAAAATATCAAGATGTTTTTCTGTGATGGAATTTTTCTTCGTGGAATTTCTATTTTTCAAAACTACGTTTCTTTGTCTAACCTTAGTATATTTCTTTCTTTGTCTTTTGACTTATGAATTTTATAATTTGAGATGAAATCTCATCGTATGTAAAGAACTTTGCTATCTGTTATACATATATTTTATTTATTATTTGATATTATATTATATAAATAAAATATATAAAGGAAACTAGAGAAAGTAGAAGAAAGGAATGAAAATTATGGAATATTAATGCTAAATCTAATGAAATTGCTAGAAGAAGAATAAATGAACATTTGAAAATTTGTTAAACTATTGCAACAAGATCCTTTCGTATATAAATAACTTAAGATTATAAATAATAATGAAATCACAATGAACAATTTTTTTATAATCTAAATTTTATATCTAAGTTTTTATAAAGATCTTTCTTTCTACAAAAATTTTAATTGACATTTTATTCATGCTTAATTAAAAAATCAATTTCTGTCAACCTAAACCCAAACCCAAAATTTTCAAACAAAAATATCTACATTATTGAATTCCTTGTTTCATACGGAATACATAAAAATAATTCTTCGTTACAAGATCAAAAAATCAATCGAAAAATTTTCTAAAAAATTCTCATAAATTTCAAGCATGAAAGAGTGAGAAAATCTCACATAGATTCTAATCTAAATCCAAAATTTCTGCATCATTGGATTCTCCTTTTCGTATCCAATAAAAGATATCCATTATCTAACAGAAAATAAAATGAAAACAAAATTCTCACAAGTTCGCATAAATCTCGACAATCGAACAGACCCACCAACCTAACCCTAACCTAAACTCAAAATATTCATACAAAACATCATTGGATTCTTCTTTTCGTATCCAATAAAAGATATTCATTACCTAACAAAAAATGAAATGAAAAAAAAATTCTCACAAGTTCGCATAAATCTCGACAATCGAACAGACCGACCAACCTAACCCTAACCTAAACTCGAAATATCCGTACAAAAAACACCATTGCACTCTCTTTTTCGTATCCAATAAAAGATATCCATTATCTGACAGAAAACGAAAAAAAAAAAAAAAAAAAAAAAAAAAAAAAAAAAAAAAGGAAAAGGAAAAAAAATTCTCGAAAATTCTCGCAAGTTCGCACGGAAGAGCAAAGTAAAAAAAAGTAAGAGATCTGGGCGAGCGCAGATCAAACAGATCTCGGCCGCAATATTTCTTAAAAACTCGGCTCGAGAAAGGGAGGAGGGGGAGGAGAAATAAATGTTTCTCGTTAGCAAATAAAGGGCGTCGGGTTCCTCGGTCGGTGGAGGGGGGAGGGGGAGGATATAGTCGGCCAATTTGTAAACCAAAAGTATCGATCGATCCTTCGCCGAGCTTCGAGGACTTTTCGTCTGGTGCTGCTTTAACCTCGCGGTTAATAAGGACTTCATTAAGTTAGCGTGATCCGCAGAGGGGGGAAGGAAGGAAGGCTGTGCAAGGAGGGGAGGGGAGGGGAGGGAGGGAGAGTGAGATTGCACGGATTTCGCAGATTATATCGCGAAATTGGCTAACCGGGGGCCGGCCGGCCGGCCGGGTAATCGCGGGCAAATTTGTGGAAAACTCGGCATTTTAACAAATTGGAAATAAGAGGGATGACGTTTTTAAGATGACGAACCCTCTTAAAAATTAATCCGCGGTTTATGGGACCTGCACAGCGATGGCGAACCGGTTTTTTCGCGGGTATTAAATTTTCGTTCGAGCGATTAAACGTGAAATTAAAACTGGGGGAGGTGTGACGTGTTGGACGAACGAATTGGAACGAGTTTTGATGGGTTATACGCGAGGGGTGATCGAGTTTATACGCGTGTTTCATTAATTTAATAATATCGTTCTCGGCGCGAAAATGGGCAAAAGTGTTTGGAGTATTAATTTTCATTCGTGCGTGGTTTAAGGCTTGGATTAAATGTGGACGAAGCAATGACGAGGCTTTAATGGTGTGTAAGAAGTGAATTTTTGTGTAGATTTTTATTAAACAAATTATTTTTTATTGAATTATGATAAATTAAAATTAATTTAACGTGACTTATTGGTTTTATTTTATAAATTGCGCCAATGTTTGAATATTGTAAATGAACAATATATTAATAATATCAATTAATTATGATACAATATCATATAATATAATTCACGAAATAAGTTGAGCCAAATTTTTGAAAAGAAATATACGAAGCAACAAAAATAGAATAATCGTACACAAAGATTGGATTTTATTCAATTACAAGTAATTAAAGTTTGTGTTAAAGACGTGAATCTAAATTATTTAACAACTTGAATAAACAAGCCTCGACCAATTTTTATATATCAACTTTTGTGTATGTTTTGATCTCTCACTCAATACATACATATATAACACAACAGGAAAACAAAGAAGGAAACTAAATATCACTCGACCTTGACTTTTAATTCATCAGTGTTAAACGAACGAGAAACTTAAAACTCGAGCAACGAAACAAAATTTTCAATCGACACAAACAATTTCGACCAATAAACGAGCGGATCGATCCCAAAGAGGAGGCCAAAAGGGGAAGTTTCGTGACTTTCCAATAATTGTCCCCTTTGTTCCTCGAATTTCCCAACGCTTTCCACCCCCTTGGCCGCCGTTTTATCGTCGCCGGGCCAACGTTTTACGTAATTCCGTCATTTCCCAACTCCTCCGGGTGAAATATGAAGAATCACGAACTTTCAATTCCACTTGCCGCATTATCTTCCCACTGGGAAGACTTTCGATCTTCAATCGAGCCATCGTTATTAACGCCACCACGATTGCGCCTCCCCCCCCCCATCCAGATTAATGGATTCTTGTTTGTCTATCGGCCCGTTCAACGCGTCTTCACGGATTCTCACGGACCGCCATTTTTAATTAAGATCACGCAAACAGTGTCCACAGACGTGGGCGTTTTTGTGGGGGGAAAAAATGGAAAGGTGGAAGCAGAGAGTTTGTTGAATTTTGTGATGTGTAACTTCATTGCACAACCTTTTTGTGAATTGCACGGTTCTAATTGATATATCAACAAATATTCAATAAAAACAATATCTTCCGTGTTCGAAATCCAAACAACGTTGTAGAATCGTTGATAGTTTAGAAAAGTTACGATAAAAATTATTTCAAATAAATGAAAGAATAACGAATGATTAAAAAAATTAAGAATAAAATTAAAGAATAAAAGTATTCTCGACGAAAAATATTATTAAATAATTTTGCAAACAACAGGATAATGAAGAATAGCTATACGAAGATCGATGTAAAAAGAATTCTTATCGCTCGAGATAACGAGAAACAGAAGAATCAGTATTCCCGATAATACGAATAACTCTGGGCCACGCTATTATTTTCGTACAGTTCCGCATCCAGATGCCCTTAGAAACGAATTAACTGCGGCTACAAACAATTTAATTCACTTTCCGCAACCGTACCGACGTCGCCTCCACACCAACTCTATCTAATTAATTTATCTTAACATCAGAACGTAGTTACGATCAAACGAGCTGCACGCGAGATTGCGCGCGCCCTCTTAAAATTACGTAAGTAACTTATTAGTATTATTATTAGAACTTTTAGCGCCTCTCGCGGAGAAAGCACGAAGCTTCGGCGTCCCTCTGGGTCTGATCTAATAGATCGACTCGATAAAGTCGTTGTGAAGAGATGGATGAATTAAATTATTAATTTTCTTTGAAAAAAAATATATTTCGAATATGATATTCTTCATGTTAATATGATAAATCGATATTTGGATAATTTGAAGGGCTTATTTAATAACTCTGCTCCCCTTTAAATATATATTAATTTTAACAACCATGATATATGATGATCATTTTGAAAAGCGAGGAATCAATTACAAGGCAATCACTCTTATATTTAATCTGATAAGAATTCAGACGAAATCAATGAAAGATTGAGAATAGGTTGCCCCAATACATTGAGCCAAATTTATTCAAGTAGTAATATCGTAGACAAGTTAGACAGGATGATAAAGTACTATTTAGATATCCCAATCATCCAAGGATCAAGAAGGTTGGCAACTCATGATGGGTCACTTGAAAAGCTTATTAGACCAGGCTTACGTGTCCAGGCCAAATGGAACGACAAACTAGATGATAAACTAGACATGAACGTTACACATCTATCTTCTAGATATTGAAACTACTGTGACACATTGTGAGTCGATCGAACATTGTAAAATAAAAATAGCATTACTTTGGAAATCATTCGAAACAGATTATAAAAGATCTTTAAACAAGTATATTTTGGCTAAGTTGAGTACAATAAGATAAAGATGATACAAAGTAACCTACTTTAAAGATCAATCACTTCTATATTTTATTAAACTAGGTTTGTTGCACGTATCTGTACGTTGTAATATAAATAATAATATAAACTAAAATGAACAAAAGATAGTGAATAAAGAACAACGATGAGCATTATTCCACACGTTCCTCTTTCAGACATACCATGCCTATCTCTCCAATCTCGAACACGTTATATATCAAGTTAAATTCATCATACATGCATTTATTGGTCAAGCCAGATAGAAGATAGTGAATAAAAAATGGCGATGAGCATTATTCCACTATTGCAAACTATTGCCTAT